TTCAGCACCTTAAAAAAGGATAACGAGTGCAATGGCATAGAATTAAGAACGGCATTAATCAAAGTCACCCTACCTCCAATCGATAAATACCTATGCTTCCATGACGCTAACCGCTTTTTAAGAGCCTTTAACACACCCTTCCATGCACTAGGCTTTCTCGGGTTAACACCTAACTGTAACCCGAGATACTTTAATGGAAAACTACCAATCTTACAATGTAGGAACTCCGCAGCCAAGTTTTCAAAGCCATCACCAGTGTTAATCCCCAATACAAAAGATTTATGGAAGTTAATTTTCATACCTGACATTAATTCAAAGCTACGCAATACTGCTTTCAAAGTCCACAAATTTTGCATCGAAGCCTCTCCCATAATCAATGTGTCATCCGCAAACTGCAGCAAAGAAATATCTGGTCCCCCTTCCCCAATCGTCACATCAGAGAACAACCCACAAGTCACTGCCTTCCGCATAAGAACTCATAACCCTTCCGCTGCCACAAGAAAAAGAAAAGGGGCAAGAGGATCCCCCTGTTTTAGGCCCCGCTCAATATGAACTTCCAATGTAGGACAACCATTAATCAAAGCTGATAGGCTTCCCCCACACACACAAGCTTCCATCCAACTGACCCATTTGTCTGAAAATCTAAAGCTACGTAACATAAACAAAAGATATCCCCACTCTATCGAATCATACGCCTTCTCATAATCAAGCTTTAACACAAAACACCTCTTATTATACCTTCGCACATAATCAACTGCTTCATTAGCCACAAGTACACTATCTAACATGTTCCTTCCCGGGATAAAGGCTGATTGTTCTTCTGAAATTATTGAATCCAAAACTCCTTTCAACCTATTTGCCAAAAGCTTGGAAACAATCTTATAAAGACAACCTAATAATGAGATAGGCCGAAAATCAGATATCTGTTGTGGACAAGACACTTTTGGCACAAGTGCTACAAAATAAGATAACAAAGACCTAGGTAGCTTCCCATTTCTACAGAATTCAGTAAGCATACCCATCACTTCTTCCTTGATCACTCCCCAAAACCTCTTAAGAAACACAAAATTGAAACCATTAGGCCCCGGACTTTTATCACCGTCACACTCCAAAATCATCTTTCTCACTTCCTTCTCCGAAAAAGCATTAACAAGCTCCTCATTCTGTAGAATAGAGACTCTTGGTAAATTATTAATATCAATAGTAGGTCGAAGCCAACTTCTACTACTAAAATGAGCCGCAAAATAGGACACCACACCTGTTTTAATCTCATTAACCTCTTCGACACATCTCTCTCCAATTTGGAGCGCATGTATATTATTTCGTCGCCGCCTCCCATTAACACATAAATGAAAGAACTTTGTATTTAAATCGCCCTCTTTCCCCCATCTCACCCGAGTTTTTTGGGCTATGAGACTCTCTCTATTTTTCCTAGCCTTCCAAATATCACCCACCAATATTTGTTGACGTTTTTTATTCATATCAGAAAGTTCTATCACAGAATTTTTATCATCAATCAAGCTCAACTCAGTTGTCAAATCAGAGATCACCTTATCAACATTTCTAAATACCTCAATATTTCATTTTTTCAATGCAATCTTAACATTCCTTAACCTCTGGCTAGCTCTCTGGGCAGCCCATGGGAGGGTAATAAAAGACTTGGCAAATTTAAACTCATGAACTTATATATTCTCTTTAATTTGTCGCTAACACTTCACAATGGAACTTTTTATTATTTAACACACCTCTCCTCAAATTCAACTAGTTTTAGCTTAGTTATGACGGTTATCTAATAATAATATTGTCATAATAAATGAAACGTGAGTTATTTATCTTCAATCCATCTTAATTATTATCTCATTCAATGCAAGTTAGCTTCTAAACATTAGTAAGTAGAGTAACGTTGTAGCACGACAGGAAAATAAATAAGCTTATACAATGAAACCTTTAATATTTAATTTAATTCATGGCAAGTACATAATAATAGTTTCTCAATAATAATTCTCCTCGTACCTTACCAGGGGACTACTACATTAAAATAACATATCACGTCACTGATTAAAAAATGTTTTTGATATCAATATTAGTATGAACAAAATTTAGGTGTACTTTTTAAAATATTTTAAGTATTATTTTTTAATTAAAAATAGAATGTTACCATAATAACCTATAACAACCTCAATTGTCAAATTTTTAAAAAGTTAAACTCTAATTTTAATTAGAAATAATAAATTATATATAAAAAATGTAGATAAGTTTTTTCCTATCAATGCAAGTATCTAAATCTTAAAAATAATTGTTCCACACGTTGATATGATGTGACACATATGGTTAGTAGAAGAATTAAAACAAAAACAAAATAAAATTTATAGGTACCTGAACCATACTTTTTTTTTATAGGGACTAAAATTTAATTGAATGATATTTGTAATGATTAGTAAATTTATTCAAGACTTAAAAGTATTAAATATATCATATTTAATCATTTTAGTTATTTAAAAGTAAATATTAAATAGTTTTTATATTTTTAATGAAAAAAATGTTAAATTGATCTTCAAAGATTTTAGTCATTAAAATATATTTTAAAAAATTTAATTTATCACCAAATTAGTTATTTAAATATCTAAAATTATCACCATATTAATTTTTACAAAAGATTAAAGTGGTAAAAAGAATAACTTAATAAAAAATTAAATCTTTGATGAAATATTTAATATTTTAATATATTACTTCTTGCAGTGGAGTAAAATAGTAATAGTACTCATTTAAATACAAAATAACGGAAAATTAACGTGTTAACAATTAAAATACTTGAAGGTTCAGTTAAGTGACTCAACTTTTTAGATGACTTATTCGATGACACTTTCATCTTTTAATTAAATAAGTTAAGAATTTTATCTACTTTTAGTATATTAAATATTTTAAGAAGTATTTTATTTTATTTTTCATAATTAAGCATAGTTAGCATTTGCTAATAAAAGAACAAACATCTCATTAATAATAATAATTATAAGATCATATTGAATTACAAATTTTTTTTCATCCCTCGTAAGGGAAATAAGTTAGACTCTACCCATTGAGATTTATGATTTAACTTTTTTAAAGTCTAATCTAATTTGACGTATTATGTGATATGCTTAATTTAAACTTTTTAAAAGACTTAATCAATTGAATAAGTGACAAGCAACTCTATCAGTGGACGGTGCCCTACATCTCCCTGTCCTACTTATCCCGCTTCTATTTTGATCTCTTCAGCAATAAAGTAGGTCTACGAAAGCAAGCGTAAGAGCGGATCTATCCTCAACGCAAGGGGAATTGCTTCCTTTTTTATCAGAATGAAGAAGGTGAATCTGGCGATCTCTCTATGGAACCTTTATCACTTTGACTTAGGAAAAGAGGCTAGGTTCGTGCCAAACTTGTCTATTTGCTGCTTGAGATTAAGAAAAGGTCTATTAAATTTATTAGAATAATTTATTTAAAACTCATAAAAGTTATAATAATATATTAAATAATTTTATATCCAAATTATAATATAATATTATATTAAATAAATTAAATTTTTAAATAAATAAAATCTTAAATTATAAACTATAATTCTTTTAATTGAAGTTAAAGAGTATTTCTATTAATGTTGTTTAATCTGTCTTATACGCATAATTTGTATTTGTGCTGTCTTGATTACATATTTTGATGAAATAAAAATATGTAATTTTATTAATATATTCAAGATGTTAAACTATTTTTTCATAATTTATTTAAATATAAGTTTTATTAAACTTTATAAAGACATACTTATTTAGATATTTTAATAACATATTTATAAATAAATATAATGGCCTATTGAAAGTTTCAATACAAAATATGTCATTAAAAAGGCTATACTAAAACAGTCTTTTAAAAAGACTAATAGAAAGCATGATAGATAATTTAGCTTATCAGACTTAGGCTTTAAAACTATTAAATAGATCAAACCTATTTATTCAAAACCTAATTTAATTTAACTTATTTTTATCTTTAATTGTCTTATATTAAATAAAATAAAAGAAAAAATCTTTGTTATGATTATAAATTAGCAAAACTAAATAATCAGTGTTAATTAAAAAAATTACAAATATTTTAAATAAAAATAGATTGATTTTAGCTGTACATAATGTAATCAAGAAAATTATTTTCTAACAATAAAAAAGGACAACGAAATTTTTTTTTTCAATTCTGAGACATATATTTTATATGCGCATACAATAAGAATTAAAAATAAAAAATACAAAATAATATCACACATAATATTAATATATGAACGTTCATATGGTAAAATTAATTATTATCAGTCGATCCATTTATGCTTATTGTTCAGTTTTTTTGTTTCTAAAAATTCGAGTTTTAGGATTGAGTGGTTCCATTGAGAACCAACTACTTGTTTTTTCTGATTTCTTGGAGCGGTTGATCAGTCTAATTCTTAAAATAATGTAAAGGACATCGTAAGTATCCATCTACAGACTACAGGTGCCACCATTTGAATCATGTTAATTTCGTGTCAGTATCTCTACAAAAACATGGTAGAAAACCAAATACAAGGTAATTAAGAAAGAATAAATCTTAAATCGTGATAACTACAAAAACTAATTTTTATCTAAAAAGGAAGACTTGACTTCCACATTTCATCACCAATACCTAATAATAAAGGTTGTTATGAAAAGACATGTTTGGGCAGGATCGATGTTCTTCCAATGACACACACAAAATTGGAAATTAACGAAATGTTAAAATACTCATGTTTGAACTCACATCACCACTTCATTTCGTCCACGGCAAAACATTACTACGTGGTCTCCTACAAATTAATCTATCTATATTATTTTTCATAAACAATGACAAAGGTTCACATATATCACAATATCTATTTACCAATCCCTCGCTTACACCAATAAATGATGATACACTAAACACATACACAGTATTCCCATATAAAAACACCATCAATCTTCCCAAAAATCATCAACCTTCAATCCATGGAGAAGCAAACCCACATAGTGATTGTTCCTAGTCCTGGGTTCAGCCATCTCCTTTCAATCATTGAATTTTCCAAACGTTTAATCCACCACTCCAATGGCTTACACGTTACATGCCTCATTCCCACACTTGGGTCTCCCTCTGAGCCCTCCAAAACCATCCTTCAAACCCTCCCTTCAACCATTCACTCCACTTTTCTTCCTTCAATTCATTTCAATAACATACCCGAAGACACTCCAATAGCAGTCCAAGCTCAACTCACAGTGACTCACTCTCTTCCCTTTATCCGTGATGCGTTGGAGACCTTAAGTTCAAGCTCGAACCTTGTTGCTATTGCTGCTGATCTTTTTGCAAGTGATGCTCTTACTTGTGCAAAAGAGTTCAACATGTTGTCCTTTGTTTGCGTCCCGTCATCAGCTATGACACAGTCTTTTTGCTTGTATCTACCAAAGTTGGATCGAACAGTTTCTTCTGAGTTTAGATACCTAAAAGAACCCATTGAAATTCCGGGTTGTGTTCCCATCCATGGCAGAGATTTACCGAAACCCGTTCAGGATCGAACTAGCCAAGTCTATGAGTTGTTTCTTCAACGATGCAAACAACTCCATTTAGCTGATGGGGTCTTGGTAAACAGCTTCAGAGGTATTGAAGCAGGGCCTATAAGAGCATTGACAGAGGAAGGATATGGGTACCCCAGTGTTTATCCGATTGGACCAGTTATACAAAAAGGATCAGGTGATGTGAGAAATGGGTGTGAATGTTTAAGGTGGTTGGAGAATCAGGTAACCAATTCAGTTTTGTATATTAGCTTTGGAAGTGGAGGGACACTTCCACAAGACCAACTCAATGAGCTAGCTTTGGGGCTGGAAATAAGTGGTAAGAAATTCTTGTGGGTTTTGAGGGCACCGAGTAGATCTGCCAATTCTGCTTACCTTGATTCTGAAACTGATGATTCTTCACGATTCTTACCATGTGGGTTCATTGAAAGGACCAAAGAACAAGGTTTGGTGGTTCCCTCATGGGCACCTCAAGTTCAAGTCCTTAGTCATAGTGCAATTGGTGGGTTTTTAAGTCATTGTGGATGGAACTCTACCCTTGAGAGTGTCATGAATGGTGTACCTCTTATAGCATGGCCACTGTTCGCTGAGCAGGGAATGAATGCAGTTTTGTTAACTGAGGGCTTAAAAGTGGCACTAAGACCTAAAGCTGATGAAAATGGTCTGGTGGAAAGAGGGGAAGTTGCTAAGGTTGTGAGAAGACTACTAGAGGGTGAAGAAGGAAGGGAAATTGGTAAAAGAATGCAAAATTTGAAGGATACTGCTTTGAAAACTCTGCAAGAAGAAGGGTCACGTACCAAGACTTTAGTTCAGTTAGCAGTCTATTTGATGGGTAAATAGGAGCGTGAATGAGCTTATGCAATTGACCTTTTGTCCCCTTCCCTTTCTTTTGCCTTGTTTATTTGTTTTGGACATCATCTACACATGAGTAAGGATTTTAGCAGATTTTGGTAGCTACTGTGGATTTGACAATAGAAAATGAAATTAAGAGTGTATGGTTATTATAATTCAAATCCTTATCATCTTATAGTTTTCTTGTCAATTTGGGAAGAAAAAAATTGATGTGATCAACAACATTTTGCTTTCTTTCTCTTTTGATACATATGATACCAAATAAAATTAAGGAAGTGATTTTGGAATGCATGTTTTTCTGTTTTAACTAACTTTGTCGGCAAAACTTTGCAAAACAAATAATATTATAATGATTCTTTTATGGAAAAATGAATAAAATAAAATAAAATTTACTTCTCACATTTATTATTGTAATTCAAACAAATTTCAGCTCCTTTTTTAAATCAATAATATCTATGATAAGCATTATAGATATATATTTTTCATCTTGAGATGGAGTTCTAGGATTAAAAACTAGTCGATATGACATAGTTAGTGATTTTAGTTTTTCTGGTAATTTCTTTTATGTTGTATATATACATTATTGTTCATTCTCAGATGATGAACGCATATGTAACTTAATCCCTTTTGTGCTTACTATTGACATTAATTTTCTAGTGCAAGGTATCTAATAGGGATGAAAATTGACATTTTGAAATTTTTTCTACACCTATTTCTATAGAACTCAAGTATAAGATGAGGAGTTATTTAGAAGGTGGTAAGAGGATGTCGTGATCTGGACATTAATTTTTTGTCTTAATCAACTAAGAATACGTAGTTATGAGTGGCTCACTTGTCACTTTCATCTTATTGAGCATTACAGGAAAAAATAAGTTGAGTTTGGGGTGATCTTAAACTTTTAGAACATATTCAACATTTGGTTTGTCTTATTTTTCACAGGAGCCTTTTCAATAATATTTTTCATATTTCTTGTCGTTTCTTTTATTTTTCTTATTATATATGCTCGATCGATAGTTGAGGTGACAATTTTATATTGCCTCAAAGATTGCTATATAGGTATTTGGGAGATACTTTTTTACTCCTAAGAATCGCTATTTCTTTTATTTTTTTTGTTTCTGGGGGATTAAACTTCATACTATTTGTACTTATGGTCCACTTTTTGCTTCTACTTGCTAGTAATATTGTTTGGCAAGAGAGGAAAAATCTTAATTCTACCAACACTATTCAAGATATTTATAAGGTACAATTTATTTCTTGAAAGCTACTAAAAGAAAAAAGTATATTTAAATTAAATGTAGGTGGTAATTCTTTTGAAAATCAGCATAGTGTTGGGTGGGGAAGTGTTCATGGGAAAATGTACTTGAAAAGTAATAAAAAAAATTTAAAATAAGTTTTCAAAATATTTTTTTTAAAATTATTTTTAATTACTAAAAATTTCTTAATTTAATTGTTTAAACTTAAAAAATATGAAATTAAATAAAATAAAGATTTAAATATGAAAGTAATTAAAAAAATTACTCTATCTTTGACAATAAACTAATAAAAAGAATTTAGGATATATGATTTTATCTCTACAATTCTTTATATTTATTGCTAGATGAATTTTAATTTAGTTTTCCTATGATTGCCAATCACTCATACTAATTTTATTAACATAGCCATGTAATCTTAACGATCTTTTTTCTAAGTTATTAGCTCCAATAGTCATATAAGGCAAAAGAAAGAGAAAGTATACAAAATCTACGTTACTTACGAGCTGTTAATTTAATAATAATTGAAAGATAAGAATTAAGTTTGATCTATTTAATCTTTTATCTCATTTTACCCTATAAATCAATTAACTATATGTTGTATGGTCACCTACAATATAAGTAACTATGATATGTTTAGGAGTTGTCACTTATAAACATACAAATACAACAAAATAAGGTAAACACCAATTAAGAAATAAAATATAAAATTATTATTAATCACAAAGATCCCATAAAATCATGTAAAAGATTCACCATAACTTTAGTTATAGACATCATATAAAATAATACTAAACAAATCTATAGATATTCTTCGTAAATTTAAAACAGAGAAGTCTTCAATAGAGGAGAAATAAAGAGTACTCTTGATCCCGAAACGCGCTCCTAAAGTTTAAATAGTCGACCAATACTAAGATTGAATATGTCCAAAGGTGAGAGAAATAGAAAAAAGATATCAAGATATAAAAGAGAGATGTCTAAGTTGTTGTCCTAAAGTTCTTTTATCAGTATTACAAGACCTTAATATTTCTTCAAATGTGAACTCCTAGCAGATAAGTACAGTCGTACATGTGACTCGAAAATACTTTTGCGCTGACTGCTAGAATATAAGTGTGTTGACTATGACAAATCTCTAATTTTCAATCAATTTTGATTTAAAATACATAAAAAAATTTAATTATGTCCTTTAATATTGAATTGCACAATTAATATATAAATTAGTGTAAAATTTAAATAAAGTAATGATCATATATAAATAAATATATTATTAAGAAACATAATTAGAAACTCTATTGAAAAATGGCATGTGTCTGTGAGCTCCTCAAGGTCCTATGGCATTTCCACCGTTGTGAATGATGAATTGTATACTATTTTACAGGGTCTAATCTAGCTTAAAATATTAGTATTAGAAATATTATTCGTGAACTTTATTCTAAACTTGCCTTGTCATTTATTAATAATAGTGTTTCTACCCGCATGTTACTGTAATGGATGCTATTTAATAGATTTTCTTTCTATACAATTCTTTTTATCACACTTTCTTAAAAGGGAAATTTTGCTATTGATTGGCCTACAAAATATGGCACTTCTATATATCAATCTTTTGTTTAATGAAGTTATTATTGCCTCGGCTTATTTGTTTGCAGTTTTTATTTTTACTTTGTTAATTTTCTCTTGATAAAAAAAATGACGAATGCTGTTGTTAGTAATAAAATTTAGCTATGGCTTTTTAATAAGTTATTTGGAGAAGATTTTTAAAGAAAAAGAAATGGAAAGATAATTTTTATTTTTAAATTTAAAATATTTTATAATATTTACTATCTTAAATAAATTATTAATATATTATGCTTGATAAATTATTTTATAATTTTAATTTTAAAAATTATAAAATTAAAACATATTAATTTAAGATAAAGAACTTTTTCTATCTAATTTTTTTTCTCTGTCCTTCAAAATTCCTTTCTCAAATATTATTTTTAAGTATTTTTATATTTTTATTAAAATAAATTTTTATTTTGATCAAAGATCCATATTATTTTTATTATAAGTTACTAAATTTATTTATAATTTTGGTAAAAAAATTAACAAAAAATAGTTTAGAAAATAAACTGAAATTTTGTCTATTATCAAAAATTGTTTTATTTAAACTACTAAAAATAATATTATATGTGACTCATTTCTATTTATATTTTTACATGTTATTATATATATATATATATAATAGTAATAATAATAATAATAATAATAATAATTATTATTATTATATAAATCATTTTATTATATTTTTTATTTATTTTCTTTTCTTTTATTCTCTCTATATGTATGCACCTCAAGGTACAAAAATAATATAGTATTATATATATATTATTTAAAAATAATATATATTGAAATATAATATTTTTAAAAAATTATAAAAACATGAAACTTAAAAGTTGTTATTTACGATTTTTTGTGTAAATATAATAATTTTAAAAAAATGATAAAGTATAAAAAATCATCAAGTGACAATTTTATAGATAATTGTGAAAATAAAAAATTAATATTAGTAATTTTTAAAAAAATTTCATATTTTTATAATTTTACTAAAAACATCTGATTTGACCAAGTCGCGCGCCTAGACGTAGTGGATAAGTTTATTATTGAAATTTTTTTTACATATACAAAAATTCAAACTCAAAATCTTAATTAAGTAATACCAAGTTGTTTGTCACTTAGATTAACATTCATCAATTAAAAAAATTTCATTTAGTGTCCTCATTAAATGTGCATAAAATATTTTCTCTTATTAATTTATGTCCTCATTAATTTATTTTCTCTTCTCAAAATAAATTTGGATTGATCGTTGAATTGTTGAAAATATTAATTTATGTTTTATTATTTTAATTGTGATTGAATTAAAGTTGATTAGTAATAATAATGTGTATTTTTATATTATGTAATATATCAAATAATGAAATAATATAATATTATAAAAAAGTTAAATAAACTTTTAAATTAGCATATAAAATTTTAATCGATATTGTTTTTAATATCAGAGATTATATGGTATTTTTAACATAAAGAACTCACGATTAATTATGATTGCAAAAACACCACATGCAAAATTCTTTCGGGCTAACATAAACTACAAATAATGAATAAAGACTAATATTATTATATTAAGCCCTTTATACCTAAAATGAAAAACAATCTATAATCTCTAACCATAGAAAAAAAAAAATCGTAATGGCCAGTTTAAATAATAGCGATAACAGCAATAGTTTATATGTAAATATTGTGTATATATGTTTATTTAAATTTAAAATATTTTAGAAGAAAATTTAAAAAGAATGAAACTGAAATGATTGGTTCAAGCCAATTTTCTTTTGTTTATCCAATTTTTTTAGATTTAGGTTACCTAAATTGGTTATCTAATTAATTCTTAAACTAACTGATTGAAAGGATTGGTTCCAACGAACTTTGACAATAATGATGAAAAGTGATTGGTGGTATGGATTATAGTGTTTTTTTTATTTTTTTCCTTTTACTCTATTTATTTTAGACAGTAGTTTTTAATATATTTTGTTATTAAGCCTCAATAAATTTATTAATAAATACTTATATAAGTAAAAAATAAATTAAATTATTTAATAAATTAAAATTAATTTATCCATTTTACTTTTTTAGAATTTCTCACTTAATTTTTTAAAGGATAAATTATGTAATTTAATTTTAATTTTAGAAAATCAATTTATTTGATAACTTTAATTATTTTAATAAATATTTACAGATAAATATATTAAATTAAGCTTAAATGATATTTCATTTTATTTTTTCTTTGAAAAATAAAGAAAAGAACTACTACTACTAACAAAGAAAAGACCCACTAATAAATATGTGGTTGTGGGTATAAAAAACCGTTGTGAAACAATCTCTGAATGTCTAACACCTACTACAACTAACTAATAACATTGGGCATGCTTGCCTACGCTTTTAATTATTACAATGACTCTAGCAAAATTTAAAATTAATCTTATTTTACTTAAAACAAAATATTAAAAAGTTATTTTGATTTGTGAAATTATAGTTTTTTATAAATTTAATTCTTAAAATTAAAAATTAATCTTTAAAATTATTATAAATTAATAATTTTTATTCTTAAAAATATACATTGACATCCAGTAATTTATTTCTTAAAAATATAAAAAAATTAATTCTTAAAATTATAAGCATCCATTAATTTAATTTCTAAAATTATAAAAAAAATTAGAGTAGGTTTAATTTTTCTTTTAAAAAGATTTTTTAATTTTTTCTAAATATAGTATAATTTATACTATATTTAGAAAAAATTAAAAATTCTTTTTAAAAGAAAAATCAAACATACTCTCTGTAACTATAAACACTTTCAATTTAGTTTTTAAAATTATGAAACAACATTTTAGTTCCTAAAATTATCATAAACCAATTATGACTCTAATAAAATTATATTTATTTGTCAATTTTATTTCTAAAAATACGGCAAAGAAATTTTAGATTTTAAAACTATAAAAAAAATTCACAGTTTCTCTAAATAATCTCTATCAAATTTGTGGAATGATGTGTCAGATTTAATAATCAAGTGTCAATGTGGTAGTTCCTTGAATACTTTTGTTATTATTAACATAGCTATATATTATTAAAAGAAAAATAAGAAAAAAATGTGTTGCTCCCGAGACTATTCATTTCTCTTTCACTTCAACTTCATCTAAAAATTTATTTGCAAATGAGACTATTGGTTTCTTATATATATTTGTCTATTCTATTTTTATATAATATCTATGGTGATTTCATATTATCTCTAATTTTATGTAAAAAAGATTTATGACTCTCTGCTACTAAATTTTATATTAGGTATGCATCTAACACATCAAACATGTGGTTAGATAAATTAAATAAAAATTAATAAAAATAATTAGATAATTATTAATAATTTTATATACCATTTTTATCATTATTTTAAAGACTAAATTAATAGTTATATAAAATTCAATAACATATTTAACTTCGCATTAAGATAGAGATGAATCTATACTTACTTTAATGCCATTAATAGTATTTTTTTTTAAATCTATATTTATTGCTTTTCGAGCGTGTTTTTAAATACACGTTAAAATAAATAAGTTTTTAAAATGTTAAAAATAGTTTTTTTTAAGTTTTAAAGACTAAAAAATCAGTTTATTAAAATTCTAGGAACAAATATATTTTTTTTATAATTTCATAAACTAAAATTATAAATACTTACAGCTTTCAGTTCCAAAATGATGCATTACTCCGTAAAAAAAATGCTTACGTTTGCTCCTACATCACGCTATGTTTCTTCCACGGCAAGACATTACTGCTTACTATCCCACGTAATTCTATTTAGTTTATTATTTTTCAATAGATTACTCTAGGGCCGACCTAAGAGTTAGGCCCCCTAAAGTACATAATTTAGGTTTCTTCCTATTCAAGTGCTTAATTTTTTAATTTATATAATTCAAATATAATAATATTTTATAAAACACTGTTAATAATCACCGTTTTTATAAAAAAATTTAAAATATTACTTGATGGATAATATAATTAGAGGTAATTATTTTACAAATATAGACTTTTTAAATAATTATAAAATAAATTCTTTATCTTTAAAATTAAGCCTTATATTTTTATTAAAAAATCTCTCATAATTAAATTTCTTAAAAATTTAGTTGACTTTCGCTTAAGGTGAGCCCACCCTGAATCTCCCCGAAGCTTTGCCCACAGCTTAGTTATTAATTTCTTTCCCAGTCCCAAGGTTTTGCTGAAGAGTAAAGATCCAACCACCCACCCACACACACACATACACACTATTACTCAAAGTTCTGAAATTGAATTGAAACTGATTCCCATGGAGAAGTCAAGGCACATAGCGATTGTAGCCAGTCCATGGTTCAGCATTCAAGCTTCAATCATCGAGTTTTCGAAACGCCTCATCCAACGCTCCACTGACTTGCACGTTACGTGCCTCATTCCCACACTCGGTTCTCTCTCTGATGCCACCAAAGCCATCCTTCAAACACTCCCTTCAAGAGCAACCTTCACTTTGCTTCCCCCAATCCTCTACGGTGACCCACCGCAAGGGACTCCAAAACCACCTCTGTTGTTCGGGTAAGGATCAAACTATTGGATTTCTCTATTCGTTAAAATGGTGTATCTATTTTTATTTATTTTTTTCAAAAATAAAGTTTAGATATGATGCGATAGATTCGATAAAATATAGTTAGATTTATCAAAATTAATTCAGGAAATAACTTCTTAATTAAAAACTTGTAAATTTTTAAAAATTATTTAAATATTTATGAAGTAGAAAAAGTATTATGATGATAGCTAAATAAGTAGTATTAAGATGTGACTTCCTCAAAAGTTCTCATATTGATCTCTTTTTAAACTCTCTAAAAGTAAATAAATAAATAATATTCTTATCTATATGACTTATAATCAATTTGATTTAAAGAACATTTTCACATATGACTTATATATCATAAAAAATAATATAAACTAATTACACATGTATAATTTCTTTTTTTTAGTGATTGAAGTATTGAAATCCGTGGTGTTGTTCATTTTGAAGTATCCATTTAACATTTAACACAGGCACACAGTGACTCGCTCTCTGCCATATATCCGCGATGCTTTACAATCAATAAGTTCAAGTTCAAGCTCAAGGCTAGTTGCTATGGTTGTCGATTTTTTTGCAAGTGATGCACTGATTTGTGCCAAGGAGCTAAACATGTTGTCCTTCGTTTACTTCCCATCATCGGCTATGACACTGTCTTTCTTCTTACATTTTCCAAAGCTGGATCAGACTGAGATCAGAGACCTATCAGAACCCATTGAAATTCCTGGTTGCGTACCCATTCTTAGCAGAGATCTACCAAAATCAATTCAAGATCGAACTAGTCAAATGTATGCATTCTTTCTTCAACGATGCCAAAAACTACATGTAGTTGATGGGATCATGGTTAACAGCTTTAAAGACATTGAAGAAGGACCTATAAGAGCGTTGAAAGAGGAAGGAAGTGGCTATCCCAGTGTTTATCCGGTTGGACCAATTCTCCAAAGTGTATCAGGTAATGACACAACAAATGGGTGTGAATGTTTAAGGTGGTTGGAGAATCAGGTACCCAATTCAGTTTTGTATGTTAGCTTTGGAAGTGGAGGGACACTTTCACAAGACCAGCTTAATGAGTTAGCTTTGGGATTGGAAATAAGTGGTCAGAAATTCTTATGGGCTGTGAGGGCACCGAGTGAATCTGCCAATTCTGCTCATCTTAATTTTGAAAATGGTGACCCTTTAAGGTTCTTACCAAATGGGTTCATTGACAGGACCAAAGGACAAGGTTTGGTGGTTTCTTCATGGGCACCTCAAGTTCAAGTCCTTAGTCATAATGCAATTGGTGGGTTTTTAAGTCATTGTGGATGGAACTCTACCCTTGAGAGTATCATGAATGGTGTACCTCTTATAGCATGGCCACTGTTTGCTGAGCAGGGAATGAATGCAGTTTTGTTAACTGATGGCTTAGAAGTGGCACTAAGACCTAAAGCTGATGAAAATGGTTTGGTGGAAAGAGGGGAGGTTGCTATGGTTGTGAGAAGATTAATAGAGGGTGAAGAAGGAAGAGAAATTGGTAGAAGAATGCAGAAATTGAAGGATGCTGCTGTTGAAACTCTCCAAGAAGAAGGGTCATCTACGAAGACTCTGATTCAGTTAGCAGTCTATTTGATGAGCAATTAGGAGTATAAACTTGTGGGCATCGTTATGGTTAGTTGCCTAAAATGATAAACATGAGTGAGGATTTGTGTCTATTTAGAAAGGTAGTGTGTATTTGACAGTAGGTTGCAAATGGTAGTGTTAATGTATTTTGCCAAGCTCCTCTTCTCTTGATTAGGATGGTTGCATTTTGTAAGATGTTGATTAAACACATCATTTTATGCTTAAAATGTTAATTTTCAGCATTCTGATAAGTTTTAGAACAAGCACTCGGTGCTTGTGATTATGCTCACTTCTGAAGTCGTCCATTCCCTGCAGTTGATTAAATACCTAGTTAGTAGTTACACAACAATCAACATCTTAATTGGTCCTTTATTCTTGTCAATGCAAATTGGTTCTTTCCTTTTCTTGGTCAGGTATAGAAAATTCAAATTGAATTTATTTTTTACATTAAACTAAAGGCTACTCCTGACCGAAGCAAGGCTTCTGAGATTCACAGAACTTGTATACTGCTCTTGAATGAATACTAATTTTCTATAATTTGTCAAGGGTATCCATTTGGAAAATTGAATTCATTAATCATGTTTTCTTTTTCAAACACAATAAATTATACTAGGTTTATTAAAGGTAGCCACAAGTTTAATATATGGATGTACTCATCTCGGTTCTATGCTACGTTGTTTTAGTTTATATTATGAAAAACTTCAATAGTACACAATAAATTCCAGAAATTGTTCTCCTATTGCATAATCATTAAAAAAACCTGGGGGTTGTAATTGCTTATTATTCTTGCTTTTTTGGTTGCTGGTGCCTGATATGGTGACCTTTCAGGCAACACAACACCCTATTTAAACTGATCTAATAGGGAAAAAAATTAACGCATTTAAATCTGACCACTTAAGTAAGGGGCTTGGATATACATTAGTGTCAAAGTTCCTCAGTCATTTGTGAAGGTTGATCAAGTATTGCTGTCATATTTAATTTTGGAGCCAAGACCGGCTCATGTATGAGACTGTTAAAACAGTCACTTTTGGAAAAACCTGACAAAAATGGTGTGAGTTAGGTCATGGCTTATGCGTGGTGACGAAGTATTTGGTCACCAATTATTCTTTTAGATAGTGCTTTTAAATATTTTTAAAAGTAAATGTATCGTCGTTAAACGAGTAAAATTACAGTTGTTTTGATTTACTTATCAAATTGAACATAAATTCTAAAAGAAACTGAATACATATTTTGATAATTTCGAAAGATTAATCAAGTGAAGATAAATGTCATATTTGAATGACCGTAGGTATGAATTTTACTTATTGTTTTACAGTAATATAAAATATAATTTTTTATAAATAATTTTTAAGTTCAAGAATTTTTTCTATTTCAAAATTGGACACGAACTCTTTGTAATTTCCTTTTAAAGAAAATATATATTTCAATATACTATTAATATGTTAAGTTGTAAATAAGAAATAATTAAATTTAATAACAAATTATTTAACCAAACTCATAACACATAAAAAAAAAATGAACGATTTTAGAAAGGTATACATTACAACAATATACTCACAAATGAGCTTGGGTAAAGCCACGTCAATTTAGAGAAAATGATGATAAAGAAGACAAAATAAGGTGGAAATCTTAGGTGAATGAAATGATTTAAATTTTCTTCAGTTTTGGCATGAATATTATCTGTAATTTAAATTTGCTTAAATAAATTATTTTATCTAAGTGAAGTAAGCAAAAATTATTTTTGTTTAAGAAAAAAATTCACTTAAAAGAATATAGAAAAAAGTAATTTTTAATTAAGAAAAAAAATCGCATAAACTAAAATAAAAAAAATTAAAACTTTGTATTCTTTTTTAGTAAACTAAGAAAATTTGAGAAACTTTTGTTTCTCATCAATAGCTACCTAACACGTATCTAATATGATATTTGTTGATTTATAAAGAAAGTAAGACTTTTGAGATTAGCACAAAACTTAATGCTTCTTCTTTTCAAAAAATCATTCATAATAAATATGAACACAATGCTCATAAGTGTGTATTTTTTTTTCCCTTCTTTTTGTGTTTAAATTCACTCCATATGTTGTTATAGCCAAAAACAATATTTTGGATTATTTTTATTTTCTATTAAATCTAACCTTAGCATTTATATTTGGTGATTTTGTTCCACTATGGTTGGGTTAAACTTTAATATGTTGTTTCCAAAGAAAGTTGATGTGAAACAAGCAGCTTAAAGTATTCTTCATTTCCTAGCCATTATATAGACCAATAAATTTAACAAAATAGCCTAAGATACAAGAAATAATATATAGAAAATTACAGAACAGAATAATAAACTAATATTATTTTATCTTATCTTATCAGAGATATGAGTTTTTGAAAAATGCATTGAAATATTTGAAATTTGAATTGTTAAAAAAAAAAAATAGAAATCATAAAACTAATAATGAGTAGTAAGTTAAAAATGTCCTTCATAAATTGCACTTCAAGATAATCAAGATGTCATAGTTTACATAGAAAGAAAATAATTTTTTTTTCATCACGATTTTAGCTTAATCAAAATTTTTAAGTAAAAATCACATTTTGTTAAATTCGATTAAGTAAATTTTTTTAATTTACACAAAAATTACTTGCTTACCTTTAAAAAAATTAATTTACTTAAACAAATTTAAATTGAAAGATTGTATACGCGTGTCAAAATTTTGAAAGATTTATATCCTACAAATTAATATGCAATTAGGTGCATATGCACTCACACTATCATGTCGTGCAATTTTTAAGTTATATTTAAATAATTTAAACATAAAAGACAAAAAAAAGAAATTAATTAATAATTATCAAATAAATAATAGTTTGTCAATAACAAAAATATATTTATTTTATTAAAAGGCCTTTAATTTTGTCATAATTTCTTTTATTTCATAAATAATATTTTTTTAATTAAACAATATTTTATCTCTTTGAAGAGAAGAAAAAATAATCTCAAAATTTATTTAAATTTAAATATATTTAGATATAATCACAATTAATAAATGTTCCACATTTTATTATTATTATTATTATTATTATTATTATTATTTCCTTATCGTTAAAGAATTACTTCAACAATTATTAATATATGTTGAAAAAACAATAAATTCTCCTTTTAATTTTTTTAAGATAGAAATAAGATGATTTAAAAAATAAGTTGAACACTCTAATTTCAAAGAAAAAAATTTACAGCAGTTGCATAAAAAATTTATTACTTAAACTTTTTTCATAACTACCCCACAATCCTAATACATTCACACTCTTTAAAGCATTTACTTAAATATTTCATAACACTTTAAAAAAAATATAAGAAATAAAAAATAGATAGTCACTTAAAGTATTTTTTACATTTGAAACAAAAGATTTAAAAATATTTAACATTGACCTTCTTCCTTTACAAACCTAGTCAATGGGTGACTTATTTCAAAATATTTTATTTCAACTAACTCAAACAATCTTCACCTTGGTTGAAATAAATGCAACTTTTGGTTTTGTTGTCTTCACTGATAATCATAGTTCAAAAAAATTATCATGCTCGATTATAAAAAGTATACTGTACACCCTACATCAATATTAGTCAATGTTTGTATGCTATCATCACACACCTTGCAATAATATCAATCAATGCCCATGCACTATCATTATACATCTTGCATTAATGTCAACCAATATCCATGTATTATCACTATACATCTAACATCAATGTTAACTTATGCTCATGCATTATCATCATAATAAATGTAACACCTTAATTTAATTTTTCAAATAAGTAAATTTTGCAACAAGTGGAAATAATAAAATTTTTATTAAAAGGGTTCCCAATACATAGTTCAATAAAGTATTTCAAAATAAGGATGAATTACAAATTTTGAATCAAATTATTGCTACAGGACTAATTTAAAAAGGGTCTCACTGTAGCGAGAGATGTCTCGCTGTAGCAAGAAATGTCTCTCTGTAGCGAGAGTGTCACGAACCTAGGATATTTGAGGGGTTTAGGGTTCGAGAAATTCATTTTTCACCTTTTCTCTCATCCCTTCTTTGATTCTCTCAACTCTAAATTTTTTTCCACTGATTAAATTGTCTCCAAAGCCGTTCGTGAGTTAGATTGAAGGTTAGAATCACGTTTAGAGCGTTTAGAGGTGAGTTTAAAGAGCTAGGGTTTACGTTTTTCATTCTTTCGTTGTTCTCCTTGATTTCTCATAGGAATTTTCCCTATATATTTAGGATAAAAATCTGTGTGGGGAGCACTTTCATTGTTGATTTTGTGTTGGGGTCTTCATTCTGAGGTAAAGAGCGACTCTACCCTACCTCATGGTGTATAAAATCTGTTTATTTTGCTATGTGTTACAATGTAGTTGAGATAGACTGTAGGCAAACGTGTGGAATGACAGAAATTCTCAGTAATCATAATGTGATGGATGTTGAATGTTGTGTGTGATGGATTGTGGGTGTTGTGTGTGTGATTGAGTGAATTGATTGCAATAAGATTGTGATAGAAATTAGGATTTGAATGTAATGTGATTGAATATGTGAGTGCATGCCTTGAACACTATGAATGATTGAGAATGAATACTATGAAATAAGTGAGAATGTGGATGAATATGTGTGAATGACATGTTGGTTGTGTTTGAAATGTTGGAAACTATGAATAGTTACAGCGATACACTAGGAGTGTGGAAGATGGAGGCGATATAAATACCCTGGACGATAGAAATACCTTGGGGAAGAAAAGGTGGTGATAACATCAATAGTGAGTGTGGGTGTATCACAGGCCACACATTCTCTTCCTGACTCGGCCTTTGACTAATACCTTTGCTAAAGGACCCATGACCGCACACATTGTATCCGTGAGGCGTGGGCTAATCGGTGACCACCCATAGTGTGAAACTGAGTAAGTCCCTAAGGTTGAGGGCATTAGAAAAATTGTGATCACAGTGCCACAGTGAGCGTGGCTACATGCAGTGAGCGCACTTGTATACGAATTGGAATGAAATGTTGAAAAGTATTACTGCGTGTCTGTTGATGCTTGATATGAATTATGTTGGTAAATATGTGAAATGTGCAAGGTGAGTCTCTATATTTTTGTGTGATAGTGTAGAGTACTCACCCTTATGCTTATTTTTCAGGTGACCGTCTCGACCATCAAGCTCAATGAAGGGATCGATGAAAATGCTATAGGACTTAGAAAATTATTTTTTTGAAATTATAATGTATTAAGTCCTGTAGTAATAATTTGATTTAAACTTGTAATTCATCCTTATTT